GACCTTCCCTGGGGCCCCCAGCTCCCCCCAGGTTGAGAGATGCTCCCTCCCTTTCTCCCCCTCCCTTCTTCCCCACCACTGCTCAGACCGGCAGTCTCCATGGGCAAGTTTTAGCCACTGCTGGTCTTGGGGTCAAGAGCAGACTTTACTGTCAGGACACGCTGCCTGTTCACCACCTGTTTCCTGGCCCCCTGAGCTGCTTGCGCTCAGGTTTACACAACACCCAGCGGGTGCTGGGCGCTGTGTGACGTGCCAGAAAGCAGACAGTGGTGTGGAGCCCACACCGCTGCCTCACTGACTCCTCAGACCCCTGTGCGGCCATGCCTCGCCTACTGACTTAGACACGCTGTTCTCTTCCCCTGTGTTAAAACGGACACTTGACCTTCTGAGTATAAATGTAACGCGTGGACATTTCTCTCGTCCGTGTTGCTGTCCTCTAGGGGCATCCACTCTCTGCTCCCACACAGCCTGAGTGAGCGCCTGCCTCAGTGCCCACCGTAGCTGTTCTGTACCTGTGAGAGTCACAGCCAGCAGTGCTGCCGCAGACCGCTCCAGGGAAGTCCCAGAACTGAACCAGTGGGGCAGCCAGGCTCCTCCTGCCGAATGCCTACTCTCTAGCCTGTTGGGCAGGAGTCCCAGGAGCCTCCCTGGCTTCTGGAGTATTATCTTCCCTTCCCGTTGGAGTTGGTCGGATCTCTGATGGAGCCTCTTTCTACCTGAAGTCCTGGGCTTTGCATTCCTGCTTCCAGTTTGGCTGAGCACCCGGCCCCAGAGAGCCATGGCTTCGGTGATTGAACCTGGGCGCCAGCTGCCAGCCCCCACCTGCTATTCCTCATCTTCTCAAATGCCTGCCGGGGTTCAGACCACACTTGAGTCTGTTCTGCCCCTAGCCGCTGCTCTTGGCCTCTTGACCTCGCTTCCACCAGGCCCAACCTTTACAACATGGCACTGGCTCCAGACCACTGCAGGTTCATCCCAGGGCAGGGTCATAAAGTCCCTAGTGTGCCGCGTCCCAAGCCAGCTGGGGAGGCTGTTCTGATGTCCGACCCTACAGGCCCTGCTGACCCTCGGTGGATAGGACGGCCATACCTGAGCCGGGGGGCTCCCCTCCCGCCGCTGCCAGCCAGTGACCAACGGGGAGTTCGCTCCATTGCACCCCCATTTCTCACTCCTCTTACTCTTGCCACAAATTAACTCAATTTTCTTTTTATTCCCTAAAGATCTAGTTGAAAACCATCCTCTAATAATGATAACAGACACTTGTTAACCCTTCACTGTGTGTGAGAGGCACTGTTCTAATATTAATACCTCGCATGTATTGCTTTGTATCATCTTCACAACTCTTGGAAATAGGGAACATTATTACCTTTGTTTTACACATGAGTAAACTGAGGCACAGAATTAAGGAAGTCACCTAGACATACAGCAAGTGACTGGTGAGTCTAGTCGCCAGATTACAGCCCTTGCTCCCTATTACCACACTTCTCAGGAACTACAGCTTCAGGCCTCTGGGCACTTGGGCTTCCAACTGCTTGACTGATTCCAGCTCTGACCCTTATGCTTCCAGAATCTCCTTGACATTTGTCTCTTTATTCTGGTCCTAACCCATGTTATCTCTCCTGGTCCTAGCTGTCTTGTCCTCTGTTCCCTTCAGCCTGGTGGCAGAGAAGAAGGAGGCTGATCAAAGACTATAGATTTGTTTGAGGGAATCTGCAAAGTGAGTTACCTGTGTGCTTGTCATTGCTGACTGAAAAGCCAGAACAAGAGGTTGGTTTTCGGTTTGCGTCCTGGGTGCTCTCCCCTGTTTTCCAGTTCCGTCTTGTGGGACTAGGCCTGCTCGGTGGCCATCACCACCTGACTCCAGTCACAACTTAAAAGGTGCATCTTGACCCTTCCTCCCAGCCTTATCGGCAGCCAGTAGGTCACCAGAGTATGTATTTATTTATGGCTGTACCGGGTCTTCATTGTAGTGAGTGAGGGCTACTCTTTGTTTCAATGTGCCAGCTTCTCACTGCGGTGGCTTAGTTGCCCCATGGCACATGGAATCTTCCCAGACCAGGGACCGAACGTATGTCCCTGCATTAGCAGGCAGATTCTTAATCACTGGACCACCAGGGAAGTCCCTAGGTCACTAGAACTTTTGCACCCACTGTTCTGGCTGCTTGAGAACTGGCTTCTGCTTCAGCAAGTGCTGCAGGGTGTTGGACTGCGGGGGCGGGGGCAGCTTCTGCGGATGGGTCTGAGGCCTGCTGAAGAGCCTCCCGCCAGTCCAGACTGCCCTCACTCTGCCCACAGCAGGCAGCTGGGTTTAAAAGAGAATTTGATGTTTAGAAGGGAATCAGAGAGAGCTGCAGCGGGACATAAATATTCATGGAGGGAAGTTAGAACTCGAGTCCCTAAAACCTTGATTTGTGTTAGTCTGTTTATGCTCATTAAAAAGTGGTAAGTGAAAGTGGGGTATTCATGGAACTGCAGATAAATTGAACTTGTTCAGATAAAGGCCTCCAGCTGCCAGTTCCACAGGCCCTGCCTAGAGCGTGACAGCAGACTGGTGTGCCCACTTGTGGTTTGCCAACCTCAATTTAAAGATTTTGCTTAGCATGATGAGTTCCTGGCTCCCAGTAGCCTTGTAGAGGTGTTTAGGGATGGAAAGCCCCGAAATTCCTCCGCAGAATGACATGCAAACCAGGGTCTGGCCAAAGGGTGGCAGGGAGAAATCTGACCTAGCAGTAATACTTGCATGGGGTGGTCCACAAAGTGTATCATCTACGTGCATGTACCACTGCTTCTCCTAGCTTCTTTCCGCTTCTGTGGGCATGAGGGGAGGGTTTCAGACTCTGGGTGCTACACGAGGCCCAGCCCCACTCATTCCTCCAAGGCTACAAACACAGGGACTGCAGCAGGCCAGGCCTTGTAGTAGCCACAGAGAGGAGACAGATGGCCACCACACCTTCTAGGGCAGGAGCTACACAGTCAGCCTTCCTTAGAGGCCAGGCATCACGCACTTAAGTGGAGTGGGTTGATCTAGGCTGGACGTGACCCTGAGATGCAGATTTATATCATCTACCCAAGGGGCTCCTGGAGTTTGGCAAGATGAGGCTTGGACACCCACAGCTGAATGACATAATATGCGCTTGGCTTCATGAGAAAAGGATTGGCTAATCTGCCCTTCAGGGAAGAAGGCAGTACCTCTCCAGGCAAGGGCCACAGAAAAGGCCTCATGGAGGAGAGAGTGCATCAAGAATTAAGCTTTGTGTGGGATAGAATTTGGTGCCCTGATTTTGGTTTCTGCACCAGGAAATGGAAATCAGAATTCTTAGGGCCCAAGGGGCGGCTGTGTGTGTTGGGGGTGCTGCTGTGACGGGCGGGCCTCACGGTGCCTGTCACCTGTTCCTCCTGGCTCCGTCTCCGCTAACCTTCACATCAGGCTGTTTCCATTCCCTGAGCCTGGCTCCCCAGCGCTGGTTTCCCTACAGTGCAGGTTCAGGACGCCCTTTGGCCTCCCCAGGCACAGGCCCCATCTCCTGCCTAGGGCTGTTCCCAGGACAACCCTCCCTTTGGTACCCACTAGCAGGAAATGACACAATTAACCAAGCAATTAACTCAAAGCTCTGCGGTGGCTCCCTCCCACAGAGCCCTGCTTCCAGAGCTGGAGTTGGTGGCAGCTGGGACTGCAGGGAAGCGGTAGGTGGTGTGTCCTTTGGGCTGAGCGCTGGGACAAGGGAAGAGGCTGATCCAGAGGGACTGGGGTAGGTGCGGGCCAGGAGGAGGGGCTGAAGGTCCAGAATCTTCAAGGGCAACTCGACACTGTCCCCAGAACACCAGGGATGCCAGCATTGGTCTGCGCAGCCATTGATTTCCATCTGTACAGGGGCCACTCCAGAAAGGACTGGAGCAGAGGACTGGCTGAGACCTTTAAGGAAAAGGGTGTTCTACCTGACTTCTCAGTAAAGTCCTTCCATTTGGGGGACCCATTCTTCCATTTGTGAAATCGAAGTGGCATTTGCTATCCCTCCCAGGGTTGTGGTAACAGTGAGTGAGGTCATACGGAAAATCAAGCATGAGCTGAACCCAGGGCACTGTTCAGTCAGCTGCCGTGAGGGATACAGGGCCCTCTGCACTCCCACCCACTGCAGTCTAGGCTCCACCAGCAGGGCAGAGGCGCAAGAAGCAGCAGGCCCAGACCCAAAGAGGTGGCCGGTAAGACACCTGGCGACAGATGGAGACAGGTGAACTTTCAAAGCCCAATGCGTGACACCAGGACCCTGGACGATCCAGTCTAGTATTTCATAAAACATTTCCCCATAATTCAGATTATTTCCCCAAGAACACATCTCTGAAACTATAATCAAAATAAATGGGAGAACTGGCACCCTTGGCATGTAGCCTTTCCGGAGCTTAACTATTTTACCACACGGTACAGCTACCTTGATGCTGGTCAACGCTTTTGCACAAAAACCAAGTCAGAAAGAAACTTTTGATCTGTACTTTCAGTAATTTTTATTGAATCTCATGGGAAAATGTGTATTATTACAACTGGGGTTACTTAAATTGAAGTGTACCAATGTGAACAAATGCCTCTGCTTTTTGGCCCCTAGATGTCTAATCACGCGTGGAGTGCTTTGGAAAGGCAGAGACTTCCCATATCACCTCATTGATTCTAGGCTCCGCCTGTGTAGCAGAACCTGCCACATTCAGGGCTCTGGTTGCTCCTGCTGGGGACACAGCTGACTGAGGGGCTGCTCCTGTCTGCCCCATCCCATGCGTGGCCCAGTGGGTCAGGGCAGCTCGGAGACCCTGAGCAACGCTCACAGGTGTTTCCAGCCAGGCTCAGGCTGTACCACGTGGAGGCAGAGGACAGCAAAGCATAGGTTTGGGGTGTGGATGCTGTTCTAAGATTCCTGGAGACGCCTTCCTCTTCATCCCAGGATCCCAGCTGTCTTGAAAACTGGAAGACTCTGCTACCCATCTCTACCTGCTGGGTGTGCTCTGTCTTTCAGATCGATGGGCTGGAGAAGAAGCTGTCACAATGTCAGAGAGACCTGGAGGTCGTGAACTCCAAGCTGTGTGGGGCGGAGCTGAGCTCAGAGGCCAGGTGATGCTCCTCCCCACGTCCCCCACCCCTTCGTATCTGTCCTGGTCCTGACCCTCAGCTTCCATCCCTCCCCTCCCCCTGCCTCCAGAGACCTGGGCCCTTGTTCCTCTTGTCCACCCTGCCCTGGCACGCCCACTGCCCCTTAGGTGGGAAAAAGGCTCGCGCTATTTTGACCTCCCCCTCCGCACCCCCCCCCCGCCGCTCACAGGAGGTCTCTGGAGAAGGAGAAAAGCAGCCTGATGAACAAAGCCTCCAACTATGGTAAGAAAGCTCCTTCCCACTGCCAGCCCCACCCTCCAGTCCCAGGACCAGGAACGGGCAGACAGCCTGGGGAGCCCACAAAGCGAGGGGGGTCAAGGGTGCACTTCAGGAGGGGGCCAGCCCTCAGGAGGCCGCAGGGCCCCGCTGAAGGCCAAGCAGCCTAGGAGGGGAGCAGGGCTGCTCCTCTGTTCCAAGAGAGACGGCGAGGCCAGAGGGTCTGTTCTGTCCTCCCTCATGGGAGGGAGGGGGCGGCTGTAGCCAGGCTGAGATCCCTCCCACTCCCCCGACCTGGGGGGCCTGTTCTGGCTCTCTCCTTGCAGACCTCCATTCCCTCCCAGGAAAACCTTGTGATGGGAGTGATGGTGGTACGGCCTTTGGGGTCCAGGATGGACAATGAACCTCCCACGTGGGTGCCATGCAGGGCTGCTATGGGTGGAGCGATGCTGCCACCTTCTGGGTGCCAGGCGCTGCGCCAGGGGGAGCCCACACCCGCCTCAGCTGGAGGGTGGCTGCTGCCCCCCAGCACCCCACTGCCGCCCTGCCCTGCAGCCTGGGAGGTAAAGGGTCTGCAGAGGCTCCTCAGGCTCTGGTCTATTCACCCCGGGGGGCCAGACCTGGCCCAGGATCAGCCCTAGAATAGTCTATACTCAGTGAACCTCCCGGAGGAATTTGAATCAACACTATGAGCACAGTGCATGTCACATACCCCTGCCCGGGGCCTGCCTGGCCTGCCCAAGGCTGGTTTGCACATATCCCCACTCCCTCACACAGGGAGAAATGAGACATCAGTTTCCCCCTCAAAGCTGGTAGTTTTCACACAAAATTGTAGCATTTATCACCCAGTTTAGCCCTCAGAGTACCAACCACCTGTGTGTCATGAATGGACACAGTGTGGCTGTGGAGTAGCTGGGCTGGCGTCCTCCAGCGGCAGCCTGACCACCCCATGAGCACAGCCGCTTAGCCCTGCTTAGCTGGGCATCCAGCAGAGGGCAGACTGAGGCGCGGCTTGTGAGGCTCTGCCTTGTACCTACTCCCCGAGGAGGGCCCAGCTGCCCTCAGTCTCTGCTTGACCAGATAGGACGCGCGGAGGGAGGCGCACCACGGGGCCACCCAGGGACGAGCCGGAGGACCCTCCTGGGGAGGCCACGCCACCACCTCGCTGGGCTTTCAGGTGTAGCCCTTTTGGTGACTCTCCCACACATGCTGTCTTCGGCTACATTTGGAGAGAAACGGCTGAGCAGCATTGGGGGTTGGGGCTTTTTGGGGCTGAGCACCTATAGCCAGAAGGTGGTGAGGATCTGGGCAGATGGAGGACACCTGTCCACCACCCTTTTTCCTCCCAGAGAAGGAGCTGAAGTTGCTTCGGCGGGAGAACCGCAAGAACACACTGCTGTCTGTGGCCATCTTCCTCCTCCTGACTGTTGTCTACGCCTACTGGGCAGCGTGAGGCTGCGGTTTCTCCCATCAGCCCTGGCTTCCCCTCAGCTCCGTGATCACGGCCAAGCAGGCCCTTCGAGCCTCAAGAGGACCAAGGTACAAGGGCTGTTTCTCCCTGACCAAGACATTGGAGCAGGGCTTCCCGTTGGCCTGGCCCCTCTCGCCTCCCATTCCCGCTGTGGGGCTTGGGGCTCCAGAAGGACTTCGTGCTGGCTTAGCCCAGGGGAAAGGCAATAAAGAACCTGTGTGCCGAGGAAATGTCATGACCCAATGGCAGTGGGGTGGCATTCAGGATTCCAGGGAGGAGAGGGGCTGTGAAGGTAAGCCCCCAGCCCAGGTGGGGAATAAGGCGGCAACAAAGCGCCTGCTCAGGCAGAACCACGGTGGGAGCCACGTCGAGAGCTTGGGCTGCTCTGCCCCCCATCAGTGCCGGCCTGTGATCACAGCGGAAAAAGTGTAGCCTGTGCGCTGAAGGGCAACCTGGGACTCGTGCTTGTGTGGTGGTCCCACTGGAGGGCAGAGTTAATCCATGATCCTCAAGAGGCAGCAGGCCTGGTGACGCGCGGCAGAGCCAGTGGGCAGCCGGGGTCACGGTCACGACCAGACAGGCTCACGGTGAGTGGCCAGGAAACCTGCCGGGGTTTGCAGGAGGGGCAAACGCAGGCCACCCCGCCCCTGCTCACAGCCTCTCCTCCAGCAAAGGCGCGGGAGGCTGGAGCAAGGCCGAGTAGGGCAAGCAGCAGGATGCAGGGGCTTGGGAGCCGAGATCACACCAGTTCAGTCAGAAAAGCAGGGAAAGGCATTGCCCTGGGCGCTCAGGCGGTGGAACGGGAAGGAAGGACCCAGGTGGTGTGTAGGTGGAAGGCTCTAGGGGAGGACCTGCCGGGTGACAGGACCCGTGGAGAAATGCGCGCCTAGAGCAGAGGGGGCGAGGCGCCCATGGCCTCCAGTGCAGACGCGGAGCCATGGCTCCCTCCCTGTCCGTGGCACTAACTGGTCTGACGCCTGTTGTTTTAGTCACACGGACTGGTCCCGGGTTGTCACAGGCGCCGCTGGGAGTAGCTGAGTGACTGGTGTGAGGGGGAGGGGCCTCCTGGGCTGTGGGGTCTCATTCACCAGTCCCTGCTTCTCACAGGGGCCACAGCATTTCTGACTCTTCCTTGGGCCCCTCTTTGGCAGCGAGCAGCAGCCCTGGGAGCCCTGAGCTCAAACACGGCGCTGATTAAACCAACCCTCTCTTCCCCCCTTTTCACTCAGGAGAGCTTCCTCCCCTTCACCTCCAGCCTCAGCTGTTTCATCCAAGCCAGCCCCAGACCACAAAGCACAGAGGACACACAGCAGCAGCCCCAGCACAGAACCACACAGGCGTTAAAAATATGTTTGTCTTTAATGATCCAAGGTTCTGCAAGACACACTGATACCCAGAATTGGGTGGAAATACAGCATCTCAGCGGTGCTGCTGACAACCTGGGGGAGGGGCTAGATGCTGGCTGGAGACCCCTGAGGTGGAGTCAGTTCCAACCTCACGGGAAGCCTCGGTGCCCTCTATCTCCATGGAAACCAGTCTAGTACTGGGATGAGGCCCTAGGGAGCCCCTGTGAGCATCTCCGAGAGGTATTTCCCATTAAAAATAACCACAGGTTCCCTCCCCCACCCAAAGCTACCGCCCAGCTTCCCCCTCCGCCCGCCAAGATAGAGGACATGGAGTGACCACATAAGGACAAACAAAAGCAACTGTGCCTCCTGCTGGGGAAGAAAACAAAGGAGCGGGGAGGGTGGCAAGGTGTCTGGGGCAACCAGGAGTGCCATGATCGCCAGAGGACTGGGTGCCACCAACCCTGGAGGACCCTGTTACGGGGGGCCACCACTGCTGGCCACAGAAAACGCAGGTCTTCAAGGCTGCTTCCTCCCCTTCTAGAGCTGCCCAGGGTTTACACTGAGAGGAGTGGGGCACAGAAAGGCTCTACAACCCCAGGAAGCAGTCACACCCACCCCCGGACATGCCACCTGCATCCTATGTAGTATCGGACGGACTCCACATGCTTCCCTTCCCGGCCTGCAGGATGGTCAGAGGTGTGAGCTGGGAAGAACTCCAGGGCAGGGCAGGGCAGGGCAGGGGAGGAGGCAATCTTCTCCAACTTGGCATCAAAACAGAACAAGTTCAAAGAAACAAAACTTTGATTTATATAGCAGCTGCTCCGGCCAGCTCACAACAGTGGGCCTCCTCCCTCTCAGGGTTTGCCCAATAAAAAGCTGGGCAAGGCAGGGGCACGGGTGCCCTCGGGCAATGCACAGAACTCAGAAAAGTGAGTGTGCACTATAGGCGAGAACGGCAGAGCCCTGCTGCCCCTGACACATCCCCCACTGGCCCCAGATGCCCTGGGCCCTGACCTCGACCTGCTGCAGGAGCTGACGGAGTCCTGTCTTGCCAGGGCAGACAGTTCCCAGGCAGCACTCCAGGGAGGAAAGTTCAGAGTGTTCCACAGAAGGAACATGTGTCCCCTAAAGGCTCCAACTGAGCTCTTCAGAGGAGCCGGAGGGGCACCACCCTCAAGGCCGGGCTCGGAAGGACAGGGCGTTGGGCAGGGTGGGCGCGCCCCAGGCCCTCAGGCGCTGTGCGTCTGGATGAAGGAAAGGACGTCCTCCTTGGACAGCTTGTCCGGGTCCTGGGGCTTCTGGGATTCGTGCACACGAATGCCATCCCCCCACTCCCAGAAGAGCCGGCCGTAGTAGCAGATGCTGCGGGGAGAGGGGAGGTCAGAGGCCGCACCCAGGGGAACAGGACCAAGAGACCCCCCCGCCAAACCGGCACCTGTGATGGGAACGACTCCCCCCGGGCAGCCAAATTCCCAGGAAGCCCTGCTCCTGCCTGCCTTCCAGAACCCGCTTTTCCCAACAACACACAGCTTCTGCTGCTAACAGCATCCTACTGGATCCTCTCATTACTGATATTCCTGGCTTATCTGTCTCTGCTGCTCTAACAGAACAATATTAGTGTGGCGAGACTAATTAAAGGCACATTAGGGCTACTGCTGCTGTTGAAACCTATAACCAAGAGTCTGGCAAACAGACACAGGGTCTGAGAGCAAGGCTGTGGGCCTCGCCACGTGCCCACGCCCAGGCCAGGGTCGGCCCTTCACACCCAGGACGCCCACCCAACCTTCACAGCCAGTTCTGACATCACCGTCCTCTCCCTGAGCTCACCGCCCAGTCCCAGACACACCCTGCAGAGATCACCATCCCGCCCATGGGGGAGGCCCCTGCCTGGGCCACAGTGGGTCTCAGGGCACAGGTGTGCCCCAAGAGCTGGCATCCAGGTAGGAGTTCCTGGAGCTGCTGAGGGGGCAGGCCTGGAGGAGGCCTACTTACTGAAATGGAGCAATGGCATCTGCAGGGAGGTCAAAGGTAGAGTTCTTGGTTTTCTTGTTGTGGAAGAACTTCCTCTTGAAGCTTTTACTGAATCCCATTGTCCATGGCTCTGATGGGAGGAAGGGGAAAGAGGCTCAGAAAGGACACACAAGACCCTTGGGGGATGGGTCAGGCCCTCCTCCCTGGTTCCTCCATGCCTCTTCCCCAAACAGCAGCAGAAAACAGCCTGGGAGGACACAGCCCTCATCATCAGCCCAAAGGGGCTCCAAGAGGACACCTAAGATGACTACTTCTCAGTAACCCCACCTCCCACCAGGGTACCATCTCTGGGACCCTGGCAGAGGGAACAGGATTCTGTTAGCCAGAGGGCAGAGGATTCAGCAGGAGATACAAATGGCCAGGTTTGTCTTTCTGGATCTGCCACTGCCCATGGGGAAGGCCCTTCTCCTGCCATGAGGACACCACATGTACACATACAAGCTGGGCTTCACTCTCCAGCCTGACCCCCGGGACCAGCAAAGACACAAGAGCTCAGGGAAGACAGTCCCTCTCAACATACACCTGGCTCTGCCCACCTCAGTAGGAAGCCCTGAGCGCCAGCCCAGCGGGGTGTGGGCCAGTCGCCCTGGCTGAGGGAGGGGTCAGGGAGAGGGGCTCATCACCCACCGTTCACCGTCCTGACGATGTAGAGGCCGGTGGGCACGAAGTGCCGGTCGTCACGCCCTGTGTAGCTGAGTTTCGGCGTGCCACTGGAGCCCTTGATGATCTTCATCTCTAACCTTGATTTTCCCGAGCAGGTGTGCAAACAGGAAGTGTGTGTGTGAGACAGTCCTGACGTTAATCTCTGACTAACGTCAGAACCAACCAACCCAATACTTGAATCTCGGCTCAACGCAAGAGAGACTGAGGCAGAGACTTGAGTTGCTCCAGGTCACACGGTGGGGTGCTGGGCTTAGAACTCAGCCTCTGAACTCCCAGCTGAGCCGTGGAAGCAGGGGAATGGCACACACCTCTGCTGTGTTGCTGTTTGCGGGGTGTCAGGGTGACCCCAGCTGGGGTGAGATCTGAAACCCCAAGTGCTATAGGGCCTTCAGTTCACCAGCCATGGTCTCAGCATGGCCACTGAAGAGTTAATTCGGGAGCAGAGACCAGGTCTGGCTCCAGTGGCCACAGTGGGCACACCCAGGATGAGCCCCCCAGATGTGAGCACCCCGCACAACGGCTGAGAACACGAGGAAGCACTTAGACCCGCCCAACCCCCCGGCTCAACCCCTCTCAGCACTAGGGGCTTGGATTTATAGTGTTTCAGGCAGCTTGCGCTCTGCCTCTCGTCTGGACACTCGTAACTGTTAGAGCATCAATGAGCCCGTATTTCTGCCTGACTTGCGCCTGCCCTGCTCCCCTCCTGACGGTGCTGAATCAGCTCAGCAGGGGACCTCTGGCTGCCATGCAGACAAAGGAGGCGGGGGTTAGAGGCGCCATGGGGGCCACTCGGCAGTGCTCCCCCAACCCATCTTACAGAAAGGCAGAGGAGGAGGCCTGGACGCTGTCACGCGCCCCACCCCAACGCCTCTCAGACTCACCTGACAAAAATCTTCTCCATCTCCTCCAGCCGGTATACCTCCTTCACCCTGTCGGGAGAGGCGCAGAGATGACAGGGCTTCCCAGGGCACCTGTCTGGGCAGCAGGGGGAGGCAGGAGGCTGCGCCTGCAGGCCCCGCACCACCCAGGCCACCACGAACAAGGACCCAGCCTGGCATTGCGCCCACAGACAAGCCCTAAGGCTCACAGCTGAGCCTGACCCAGGGCAACTGGGGAGCAGAGCCCCGGCTGGGGAGGGCTGGGGAGGACGGGAGGGAGGGGGAGGAAGGTCTGGCGGCGACGTCCCGTCAGTGTTCCGGTCCCACGTGGCCATCACTAGAGGCCAGGACACTAAGGGCCAGGCCCTTGTCCAGCTCTGTCTACATGAATTTTGGCCTTCGGGTAACAGTTACTTCCAAATCGTCCTAACAGGCCTATTTCCACCTCGGGTGAGGAGACCCCCTACCCAGCCCCCCAGCCCTGGACGCCGCTGAGCACACCTTTGAGCCACTACTGGGTAAGCTGCCCAGAGACTGAGCAACCAGACCCCAACACAACAGAGGCAGGGTCCCTGAAGCAGCTTCTCGGGACGTGGCAGACAGGACATTTTAAAGTACGAGAAGAAATTACTTTAAGACTTTCAGAAGACTTCTATAAAGTGTATTCTTACTACTGGATTTAATTCTAAGTAAATTTGTATTAGAAAGAATAGTGAAAATTATTTTTTCAGTCTCTAGACACACGAAGCCCCAAAGATCGTAACATCAGACCTCGGCCCAGACTGGAAAAGTCTCTTCTCCGTCTGTCCGTCTGCTGACTGTGCTTATCCTCCCCACCTCCCACGGGGCCTGGGCCTTTCATATCACCTCACATGGCAATAAACCGTGGCCTTCTTTCCATGCACCAAGGAACCCATTACCTCAAACCACCCTTCTCTTTATCACGTTCAAAAACTCCCATTCCCTCAGCACCCTTTTCTTACCTGAAAAAAATGAAAAGGCCAGGATAGATATGCTAATGATACCCAAGCATGAATGTGTGGCTCACAAGTGTGTTAGCACCCTCAGAAGCACGTGCATCTGAAATGAGGACACCTGAACCCCGAGGAATGAATCTCTCCGGTGGAGGTTGGCCTGCTGTGACAGGTGGGATGGGGAGGTACTCGGGCAAGCAGGCACCTCTCCAGGACCCCCAAGCACATCACTCATCAGGGCGGTCTGACCTCTAGCGCTGGCCTGGCCTGGCCTCCACTGAGCCCTCTCCCACCTCAGAGGACGGGGGCGGGCACCAGCCAGAAAGCAGCAACGGGGAAGGAGGACAGGGGGAAGAGGTGATACGCTCACCTGATGGGATTCATGTCGGGCCGACTGGGCTTAGAAACAGCTTTCACAAATTTCTCAGCAAGCTGAATCCTACAATCCAATGGAGTCTCTCAGAGGCAAGTAAGGGTACCTCTACCAGGACCCCTGCCCCCAGAGCATCTTCTTGGCACTGGTGGGAGGACACTCCTGAATCTGCAGCAAAGCTGCTCTAAGAGGCGGCACCTGCTTCCCCCTGGAGGCCCCCTCCTGTCCTCCTCCACCAACGTCATCAGGGAGGCCCGCTCCCCCACTCTGGATTCTGACCTCTAATTTTACTACATCTTGGTTGGTTTTCCTCAAGTGTAACTTTGGCTGTGCTCAGTCACCTCCAGCAGAACTTCAAGTATCATCTTTATTGTAAATGTCTGCTCCTTCACCCCAAACCACTGATCCCACAGTGCACCCACTCAGATGAGCCAGCTTAGGAGAGAGGTCAGTGACACGGCAGTGTAAGGGTGTTCCATAACTCCCTTTAAACAACTGATTAAGCATCCGTGCACAAACGGAAGTGGGAGTTGTGGGACCCTGGTGAACTGACAGGTGGGGCCACCCAACACAGAACACATTCTTCGGGGAGAAGACCCGCCCTCTCCCCGTAAGGCCACCCTCTTGCTCAGCCTTAAAGCAAACATCACTCCTGATCTAAACGGTGGCAAGGTGGAGCCCTGGTGAATGAAAGTGCCAACACCAACTTCTCACCATGCCCTGGGAACCAGCTAGTGGGTAGAAGAGGGAAACTAAGGGTGTTCTTAGGCAGACAAGACCTGAGTGAGGAGCCAAGCCACAGAGGCCACTGCCATAGCGCTGCCCTGGCCCACCTCCCCCTCTGTCCCCCAGGGCCCCGGTCAGACCGTTGGTTAAAGTGCTGCTCCCGCACGTCGCTGCCATTCAGCACGAGGACATCAAGGATGTGGATCGCACTTATCTTCCGCTGGGCCTTCCCCTAGAAGGACACGGACACTGCCCACCCCGCCAGGCACTGGCCTGGGGCCCACTCTGCCCAGCGTGGCCTGCTGGCCTCCGTTCAAAGAGCTGGGGGAAGGGAGGTGCTCTGAACACATTTCCCTCACCTCCCTCCCAGTTGATGCTCAGCACCAGACTGGCCCAGGCTTCTGAGCAGACGAGAGATCTGAGGTGCTGGACCAGCCCCCTTAAATCTCAGACCCAGGGAGACTGCCATGGTGCTCTGGCAGAAGCTGGTGTCCCACTCTGGCCCACTGCTCCCACTGACTGTTCTGAAAGTTATGTGTATGGTGGTAATACCCAAAGCTCAGGGGAAATAACAAGTTGCTTCTTTCTCAAGGGATCCTTGGTCAGTAACAATCAATATCTAAAAACTACACAGCAGGTTGACTAGGGCCTTTGCTACCCAGAGATGATCAAGATTTCCTGCACAGAAGGAGACTGTGAGCCTTCCTACCCGAACATACTATGGCTTAAAGCAACTACTGGAGGAGGAGGAATAATTACAAAGCCTTTGTTGGGCCCTGGGCCCTGTCAACAATCACATACACTATAATCCAGTTAACTTGGGGGGTGTGTGTGGGGGGGGTGGGGGTGGTGAAGGGCCAAGCCCAGCTGTGCCTCAGTTCCCTAGATGGCAGAGCCACAACACGTGAGCAGAACCACCTCTGACCTCCCCTTTCAGCTCATGGACAATCTCCACGGAGAGCAGAGTATCCCGGGGTAGCTCTGTCTTCAGGTCCAGCTTGACCCAGCGGTCTGACTGGCGGCCATCCCACGTGTAGATCTGAGACTTCTACGGGCAGAGAGAGGAGGTTAGGTCAGGCAGAAGAGGGACTGAGCGGTCAGAGGCTCAGTTCTCAAAAAGGCTTTCAGTTGGTGGCTCCAGGGTGATGGGGCTGGAAATGCCAGAGGAAGAGGTCTGGAGAAAGGAGCTGGTGACACTTCATACGCGAGCAGGACAGCGTTGTCCTCCGCTGCCTCGGCGGAAGAGGAGTGCTCTGACTCGATCCCACCGGAGAGGGGGGAACGGGCTCAGGCACCATTCAGGAGGCCTGAGTCCATGATCAGTGGCCCTCAGGAAAGATCCAGTTTGGTGTATATGCGAAGAGGGTTTAGTGAAGGATCCAGAGAGCAGAGCGGAGAAAGACAGTGAAGAAAGAAAAAGAGAAAATGTGAGAGGACACAGAAAGGAAGTGAGGAAGAAGACAGAGAACTATACAGGAAGACCAGTCAGAGTGGAAGGAGAGAGCAGTGAGGACTTTGCCCAGTTCAGACACAAAACTGCGGAGGCTCTCCCTCACCTCGTGTTAGACTCCAAAGGCACCAGAGTAAGGATAGGTGGTGTCTCTGCCAGACAGGGGTGACGGGGGTGGGGGCGGTGCTGCAAAGAAACGGCTGCCAGGACTCGAGCCGGCCAAGCCTGCTGACCACCCTGCTAGCCCAGGAGGTGCCACTTCACCAGGAAGGAGGCAGTGCTCCCTTCAGCAACGCACCAAAGTGAACAAGCAAATACATGAGTAAGTGAAAGAATGAATGACACATGGGTAACTCAGAGGAAGAAAGGAAGGGAAGTTTCAAGAAATACCTTCCCTGGGGTCAAAGCGCCAGCTCCTCAGTGCCAAACAAACACACACCAAGTGTGGCAGGCGGCTGTCCAGATTCCCACAGACAGACAGCACGGTTCCACCACCCAAGCCGGGGAGGGAACCAGCTGCAGACTTACCCCCAGGCCGATGAGGAACTTCTGCTCGCTGCCAGACACCATGCAGCGGTAGTCGAGCACTGGGCGGATCTTCTCCAGGGTCTTGGCAGTAAGCAGCGTGGGCTTATAGCTGAAGATGTCAATCTCAGTGCCCTGTAGCCCCGGGTCAGAGAAAACACAGCTGGGTTGGGGGAAGGCACAGGCGCTCAGTACGGGTGCCTGGGAGGTTGGGGGCAGAAGGTTAGGGCAGGCTGGGGGGCGGGTGGGGACAGGAAGCACTTGCTTTCTGAAACATGCCCCCTGTTCTACCTAAGCAGGAACAAACTGGGATCTAATTCCATCTGCTTGGAGTGTTCCTTTAGGACCTATTAGAAGAGGCTGGAAAAGGAAAGAACACCGAGTCCCTGAGTACAGATCGATTTACCAGAGCTATAAGGAAATGTCACCAGAATATAAAAGCCTCCCCTTCAATAAAACTGAAAGCAAAGACTTGCAAGCAGTTCATTTGAAAGCAGTTAAGTGATCTCTCCACCTGTTTCAGAAAAATTTACACATGCTGTTTTTTTGAGGCCATCTTGAACCTCATTCTCCAGTCCCTGACCTGCACAACAGCTCAAGATTTGGGCCAGATTTAAAATGAAGCCCAGGGAAAAGCCGGAATTCAGGTGGTAGGAAAACACAGGGCAGAAGAATTCTGGAGACCACTCACCAGAAACAGACCAGGGAGCCTAGGTCTGGGCCGCTCCACTGTGGAGCTCTCCTGGCACCCCCTCCTGACCCTCTGACCAGCTCCCGGCCTAAGATCACCTCACACTTCGTGTCTCCCCTGCAGCACATGGCACCCTAAACTTGCCGGGGAGTAAGAGCCAGCACCACGCTTGGGGCAGCAGGAATGCTGATCACAACATGTCTCAGGCCAAGAATCTTCAGGCGGCCTGGTGGGCTCTGTGGGAACTCAACACCCTCACCAAAAGTCCCCACCTGAGACCAGAAGGAGGTCTCAGCCCACCCCTGAAGCCCACGTGGTACCTGCACAAGTCCCCTGGAGGCCAGGCACCTGGGGGTCTCAGTGATACCACCTCTTACCGGGCCTCTCTAACTCTTTATTTTTACCAGACACCAAGCTTACCTGGATGAGCTCGAAGAACTTAGATTTTGGATCTGTGGAAGAAGGAGCAACTCGAGCCTGGTCCGGGATCTGAAACAAGACAGCAAAGAACTTTGGTTTTCAAGCGCACTTTTGATCAAGGTTGGGTGTGGGCCTATACATAGGCTCAGACTGGGCAAGAAGAAATGGCACCCAAGGAAGCCGGAAAGCGGGGCTGGGGTGGCCAATTCAGCTCCCTTTCAGGCCTTGTGGTAACACTCCTTCAAAGCCATTTACCTTTCTCTGGGGCTCTCTGTGGTCAATACTGCTACCCAGGGCCACCAGCAGGAAACTGAGGCCTGTTCACCCACCACCCCTGCCCTTTCTGACCAGTCTGCGGGGCTGAACCAGGAGTGAAAGAGCCAAGGAGGTAACTCCCAGCAGTGCTGAGACGTCCAACTCCTGAGTGCTGTGGGCTGGCCTGGCTGGGGGTCAGTCCCAGCCTTCTCGAAAGCTTCCTGCCCTGGAGCGAAACTGGATCGGGGGGACACTCACCCCCCAGAGCTGGAGGCACTCTTTCCGGATCTCTGCCTGCCGAGGCTCGATCAGGGTCCTGGGAAAATGAAGCCAGTAAATGACTGAAACCTCTGTATAGGAGGAGTGTGCCTCCTGCACACCCATCAGAACCCCAAGGAGAGGAAGTCGTGTGAATGAACATGTGCATGCCCACATGAGGCTAAGCCGTCATCACCCAAGGTGCTTATAACACTCACACGGCTCTGCCTCCAGGAGATGAGGGCACTGGCACAGAAACCGAGATGATCTCCTTGCTAAACCACAAAGGGAAGGGAGAAGCCACCCTCCTGGCCACCCTGGATGGCAGGGTCCCCAAACACCCTTCTCCCAATTACCCATCAGAACACACCGGTTCCTTCCCTGACACAGGCCACATGAAGTCCATCCCGTGGACGTCACCATGCCCGAGAAAGCTGGGTTAGCTTCTGCTCACCCCCTACCAGAGGTGTTCTGTGACCAGTCCTCCCTCTCCTCACCTGATCACTCTTTATGCCCCCTGAACATTAGATATTCTACACATGCCCCTCTACATTCTCTGAGGCACTGGTAACAACTTTTCCTGTATCCTTTGCCTGGGTTATTCTTATCTGTCCAAAGACAGATAAGCCTCTGAGGCTGAGGTTCATGCCATGTGCTTCTTTGGCATGCTTCACAGAATACGGTAAAGTATGAGATAAAAAAGTAGGTATTTTTAAATGTTTGTAGAAATGAAGTAAAGAGCTCGGGTTGGGGGTGGGGGTGGGGAATAAAACATAAAGATCTTCCCTTGAAATAGGTAGATTCTGGAAAGGGCAACACTCACGTATCTTGCACAAAGGCACGGATTTTGGCCAGAGCTTTGATCTGCAGACTGCAGTGGCTGGAATTAAAAAAAAAAAAAGGATTTTATCTCAGAAGGATTACCAAAAAAGACAGCCTACAGTCATGAGGATAGAGAAGTTTAGCCAGAGCAGTGGCTATCTATGTTTGGGGACAGGGTTAAAGTCAAAAAAGAACCCCTTCAACAACAACCTTAAGGTACAGTTACATGGACCTGATGAAGGCTTAGGGTGAAGCTGAACTGAGTCAAACCCTCCTGACACTCAGATCCCAAGCCCAGCCAAAAGGAAGGTTCTGATCTCATTCTTAAAAATTTGAGGACTTCCCTGTGTTACAGTGGATAAGAATTTGCCGGCCAATGCAGGGGACATGGGTTTGATCCCCATCCGGGGATATCCCACATGCCGCAGAGCAGCTAAGCCTTTGCGCCACAACCTCCAAACCCAAGCTCAAGACCCTGTGAGTCGCAACTACTGAAACCCATGTGTCTAGAGCCCGTGCTCTGCAACAAGAGAAGCCACCGCAACGAGAAGCCCGAGCACCTCAACAAAGAGTAGCCCCCTCTCACCACAGCTAGAGAAGGCATGCTAGCAGCAACAAAGACCCAGAGCAACCAATAAATTATTTAAAAAAAAAAAAGAAACTGAAAGCCACAGTGAAATGATTTTTTTTGGCTGCACTGTGCAGCTTGCAGGATCTCAGTTCCCCAAGCAGGGATCCCCAAACCTGCAACCTTTCAATTAAAGTCCTAACCACAGGACCACCAGGAATTCCCTGAACTGATTCTAAATGAAGCAACAACACAGTCCAGACCTAGTTCAAGTACACATTAAACTGACTACCTGCGCTAAGAGCCACCCTTACTACCTCAGCCTCCACGACTCTTAAGAGACAATTTTTTTCATTTAAAAAGCAAGACGTGATAAAGCAAGAAAATGTGACCCACTGACAAGAGGGAAAACAGTCCAACAGAACAAGACCAAGAGATGATCCAAATGTTAAAATTATCAGACAAGACCTTAAAAATAACTGAAAAATACGTTAAAGGATCTAGTGAAAAAGGTATAATATACTTAAAAAGATGGAAAATACTGGCAGATATATTTTTCAAAAGCTAAAATTCTAGAAATGAAAATATATTAGAGATAAATGGTATTATTTGTTTAGCAAATTTATAGAAGTATAGTTGATTTACAATGTTAGTTGCAGGTATACAACATAATCAAATTTTTATATATTATACTCTATTTAAAATTATTATAAAATACTGGCTATATATCCCTGTAGCTTATATGTTTTACACATAATAGTTTGTACCTCTTAATCCCCTATCTTGCCCCTCCCCTCCTGCCTCTCCCCACTGGTAACCAGTAGTTTGTTCTCTATCAGTCCATTTCTGTTTTATTATTCATTTTTTTGGATTCCACATATAAATGATAACTTATCTGTCTGACTGATTTCACTAAGATCCACTGCTCTAGGTCCATCCATATTGTTGCAAATACCAGAATTTCATTTGTTTTTAATGACTGTAATATTTCAGTGTGTGTGTGTACCATCAACAGTGTACTAGGGTTTCCTTTTTTCCACTTCCTTATCAACATTTGTTATCTGTAGACTTTTTGACGATGGTAATTCTGACAGGTGCAAGGTGATCACATTTAATTTGCATTTCTCTGATTATTAGTGATGTTGAGCATTTTTTCATATACCTGTTGACCATCTACATGTCTTCCTTGGAAAAATGTCTATTCGAATCTTCTGCCCATTTTTTAATTGGGTTTTTTTTTATTAATGTTGAGTTATATGAATTATTTATATATTTTGCATATTAACTCTTTATCAGTCTTACCATTTGCAAATATGTCCTCCCATTCAGTAGGCTGTCTTTTCATTTTGTTGGTTTCCTTTGCTGTGCAAAAGTTTTTAACTTTAATTAGGTCTCATTTCTCTATTTTTGCTTTCTTTGCCTTAGGGCCTGATCCCGCCACCTCTAAAATTTCTACTCTTTATGTCAGAGTGTTCTGCCCTTGTTTTCTTCTAGATTTATGGTTTCTGGTCTTACATGTAGGTCTTTAATCCATTTTGAGTTTATTTTTGTATATGGTGTGAGAAAATGTTTTAATTTCATTCTTTTACATGAAGCTCACCAGTTTTTCCCAGCATCACTTACAGTCAGAGACACAAAGACACAGAGACTGTTTTTTCTCCAATGTATATTCTTACCTCCTGTGTCACAGATTAATTGACAAAATATAAACGGAAAACCCTGAAAGCTGTCAGAGGAAAAAGGACACGTGAGACACTGACGGAGTTTATCCCTGTAACTAGTTTATCACTATCACTAGTTTGCTAGTTTTTAATCATGAGTAGATGTTTAATTTTGTTGAACATTCTTTCTGTATCTATCAAAATTATTATTTTTCCTCTTTATTCCTTTAATACAGTGAAGTACAAGAAATGGTTTTCAAAAGGTATACGAATCTTGCATTTTTAGATAAACTCCAGCTGGTCATGAGCATTACTCTTAAACATTGCTGAATTTGATTTACTAATTTTTAAAAAATCTTACTTATTTTAAATTTTCGGCTGTGCTGGGTCTGTGCGGCTGTGCAGGCTTCTCCCTACCTCCGGAGAGCAGGGGACTGCCCTCCGGTGGCGGCTCCTGGGCCATAGAGCACAGGCTCCGTCGGCATGGCGCACCTGCTTAGTGGCTCCATGGCTTGTGGGATATTCCCGGATCAGGGATCAAACCCATGTCTCTTCCACTGGCAGGCAGATTCTTTACCACTGAGCCACCAAGGGAAGATTTTTATGTATAGGCTCATGAGGGGGATTAATCTATAAATGTGTAGTTTTTTGAAGTTTTGGTGAGACGGTTGGATGGCATCATCAACTCAATGGACATGAGTTTGAGCAAACTCTGGGAGATAGTGAAGGACAGGAAAGCCTGGCATGCTGCAGTCCATGGGGTTGCAAAGAGTCCGACACGACTGAGTGACTGAACAATGACAACAAATATGTATATTTAATGCTATAAATTTCCCTTTATTAATCCTTTTTTAATTCCTTTAGGTATATATATAAAGGACCATATATTTATCTATTCATCTGTCAATGGACATTAAAAGACATTCAAATTGGAAAGGAAAGCAAAAAATTATTTATTTGCAGAAGATATGGTTATATATGTAAAAAATCTTAAGGAATATACCAAACTACTAGAACTAATAAGTAAATAAAGCATTCACATAAAATATGTAGTCAATATAGAAAAATCAATTGTATTTCCATATACTAGTAATGAACAATTAGAAAATGAAAATTTTAAAATACCATTTACATACCCATAAAATTCTTAGAAATAAATTTAACAAAAGATGTGTAACATCTCTATACTGAAAACCATACAACTGCTGAGAGACATTAAAGAACCTAAATAAAACTTCTAGACGAAACTTCTGACTGATATTCTAGTCAGAATATTTTCATTACTTTAGTACAGTGAAAGTTTCTTTAGAGAGACAACAAGAATCACCAAAAAAAAAAAAAATTGATAAACTGGATTTTAGCATCAAAATTTAAAACTTCTTGGCAATCAAACTGAAAAGGAAGAAGTAAAATTATCTCAGTTTGCAGATCACATGATCTTTTATGAAAAAAATTCTAAAGATTCCACAAAAAACTGTTGTAATAATCAGTCACAAATTCTATATAACAACAACAAACAATCTGAAAATGAAGTTAACTACTCCACCTACAATAGCATCAAGAAGAATAAAATGCTGAGGAATAAATTAAATCAAGAAGTGAAAGACTTGTACACTGAAAGCTGTGTAACACTGCTGAAAAAAATGAAAAGAGATAAAAATAAATGGAAGGGCATACTGCGTTCATGGATTGGAACACTTAATATTGTTAACATGACAACACTACCCAAAGCAATCTACAGATTCAATGCAAACTCTACCAAAGCTCCAATGGCAGTTTTTGCAGAAATAGAAAAACTCATCCTAAAAATCATACTGAAACTCAGGGGATCCCAAATAGCCAAAACAATACTGCAAATGAGGAACAAAGCTGGGGGCCTCATATATCCTGAGTTTAAAAAAACTTACTACAACACTACAGTAAAAAGTATGGTACTGGCATCAAGACCAACGGAACAGAATAGAGAGCTCAGAAATAAACCCTCACATCACATGTATGATCAAATGATTTTCAACGGGAGTGCCAAGATCATTCCATGGGAAATGCATATAGATAGGCTTCAACAAATAATGTTGGGAAAACTCGATATCCACATGCAAAAGAATAAAGTTAGACACTTCACATTACCTACAAAAATCAATTCAAAATGGATCAAAGACGTAAACATAAGAAATAAAACTATAAAACTTCTCTTTTTCTCAAAACAAAACACAAAGAAAAGCTTCATGACACTGGATTTAGCAATGGATTTCTTGAATGACACCAGAAGCACAGGCAATAAAAGAAAAAATAGATAAATATATTTTTACTATATCAAAATATAAAATTTCTGTGCAAAGGGCATAATCAATACAGTAAAAAACAAAAACAAAACCCCACAGAATACAAGAAAATATTTTCAAATCATACATCTGATTAAGGGATTAATACCCAGAATATATTAAGAATTCCTATAACTAACAAAAAAATCTGGCAAATCAATTTAACAATGGGCAAAGGGAGGTCTGTCCAAGATGGCACAGTAAGACCCTGAGCTCCTCTCACTCGGGACACCAAACTACAGCACAGGAATCTGGAACGTCAGGTCCATGAGTCAAGGCAAACCGGAAGGGGTCAAACAGGAGATGGCAAGAGTGTATGTCGACATTTTAGCAATCAGTGAACTAAAATGGACTGGAATGGGTGAATTTAACTCAGATGACCATTATATCTACTACTGTGGGCAGGAATCCCTTAGAAGAAATGGAGTAGCCATCACAGTCAACAAGAGTCCGAAATGCAGTACTTGGATGCAATCTCAAAAATGACAGGATGATCTCTGTTCGTTTC